TGGAAGATATTTTGCAAGCTTGTACGTTGGATTCTCAAGGTCGGTGGGATGATCAGTTGGCATTAGTGGAGTTCTCCTATAATAATAGCCATCAAGCGACCATTGAGATGGCACCCTTTGAGGCTTTGTATGGGAGGAAGTGTAAAACACCGTTGTGTTGGAATGACCTAAGCGAAAGGGTTGTATTGCGACCCGAGATGATTGTGGAGATGATGAATCATATTCGTACATCAAGGCTAAGATGAAAGCCGTCCAAGATCGTCAAAAGAGCTACGCCGACCTTGCTAGGAGAGATGGGCATTTTGAGGTAGGTTATCATGTTACTTAAGGTCTCACCAACGAAGGACTTGAAAAGATTTGGTATTAAGAGAAAGTTGAGCTCCAGGTATGTGGGGCCTTACGAGATCATCGAAAGAATTGGAAAAGTGGCCTATAAGCTGGCTTTGCCGGAGACAATGAAAAGGGTTCATAATGATTTTTATGTTTCTCAGTTGAAGAGATACGTGGTAGATCCATCTCACATACTTCAGCCGGAAGTTTTGGATTTTCAGAGGATTTGGTGTGTGCGGAGCAACCTATTCAGATTGTGACCTTCAAAGTTAGATCGACGCGGAACCGTGACATAAGGATGGTGAAGGTAGTGTGGTCGCGGTATGGGATTGAAGAAGCAACATGGAAAACTGAGCAAGAAATGCAAGAAAAGTATTCGGAGCTGTTTGAGGTAGCTCCGGGCATCCAGATTGATTTCGAGGACGAAATGTCCTAAGGGGGAGGATGTAATACCCCGTAAAAATAATCGCCATAGGTTCGCCGAAACTTGCCGGAGTCGGACAAATTTTATTTTGAGCTTAATTTATTTTGAGTTCATGTAGGGGTGACAAAAATAAGCATAACCTGAAAGCCCAATCCGAGCACGGCACAAAAAAACCGTGCTTAGGCTAAAAATTAGGCCCAAAATAATTTTGGGTTGGGCCGGCATGGCCCGATTGACAATTCATGTAGGGCTTGGGCTTGTTGAAACCGAGTTGTGCTGGCCCGGCCCAATTTTAAACAAAAATAAATAAATAAATTAATATTTAATCATTGTTATATAATAAATAATAATAATATTAATGGTAAGTATATATATTGTGTTATATATATAATAAACACGAAACACACAACTGTATACATATCCATAGTTATAATTACCTATTTATATATTAGGTTATGTATTATATAACAATAATATAAATATTATATAAATGAAAAGTTATTATAAAGGTTAAAAGATATAATTCAAAAATCAAACCCAAGCAAACAAAACTCTAGTCCAAACATTCCCCTCAATTGCTTTGCTCAGACTCCTCACGGCCGACGGCAATCACGCACTCATGTAGACATAAAAGGAAGATATCCGACATAGTCACACAGCCCACCACGGCGCAATTGTATAAGTAAGATCAAGTCAACGGCTCGACGCCGAATTCTCAACCAAGTTGCTGCAAAAATAGGTATTACAAATTACAAATATAGTATACGCAATTATTTTTTTTGTAGTTGTGTAATTATATTATTTTCAAAAAATGAGAATTTGAATTGAATTTCATACGCTATAATATATTAATATATACCTTATACATATATATATATATATAGAGAGATAGGATACATACATAGTCGTCTTTGGTAATGTGTTTGGATTGATTTGAGACTTTTTTTTTTTTTAATTAAAAATTAAGTCATTAAATTTAATTACACAAGAAATTTAATAAAGTAGCACTTTTAAATTTAATTACACAAAGTTAAGCGTGCTTGCTCTTAGTAATTTAAGGATCGGTGTCCCTTGGAAAGTCTCTCAAGATGCGCCTGAGTGAGGAAAGAAACACGCTGGAATGACTCGTGTTGACCTGTGGGGCCAGTCTACGATCCCGACATGCTCGATTTTGCATGATTTGCAGGCCAGGGTGTCATAGCAGATGAGAGGAGCATTCGGACCATGTTTGAAAGAAAAGGGTCATAACTTCTATCACGAGCTTTGAGGCAAGCCCGGAAGAAATTAAGATTCTACGGTGGCTCAAACTAGAGTTGAACATAGGCATGCTTAGCAAATTTACAAGTCAGGAGTATGTAAAAATTTGAGAGCGCAACAAGGAAAAGAAGAATAAAAACAAGGATGCACTTTTTAATAAGTAAAAGGTGAAGCGTGGTTAATAGATCTTGTTAAAAAGAAAATGGTGAGAACATGTCGATTAAATTTGAATGTTTTCAATCGAGTTTAATTTTCACATCAGAAACTAAATCAGTTGTTAATTTTTGTTCAATATAATATTATATTGTTGTTTAACATGAACAAAAATTGGGTCGACCTCCGTCTGCGATTGAACTCCATGACCGTTGTTAGAAACAAAAGGATGAGACATATCCTTCTACAAAGCTAGCCGAGATAGCGGTATATTGTTCTATATTTATATTTACAACATGTTATACATAGAAAAATGAATCTCATATATCTTATAAAATAAAAAATTACTCGTACTAGTTGGAAGAAATATGAGTTTGATATTACTTGCAAAATATTATGTGGAGTTTGATATATGGCTACCTTACATAATCTATTATTGGGAATGTAAGAGAGTCTAAAGAAATACTGTGAAGAATATGGTACTCAAAGAATTTCTACAGCGAAAAATGAGTTTATCAAGTCTTACAGGGGCTACGACAAGAAAGGTCGTGTGACAGGATTCGGCTCCTAAGGGAGCACCTCCCGAATAGTCTTACGTGAATCCAATTCGTGTGTTATTCATAATACCCCACAGGCTCACAGTTGTCTTTCCGAGGCAGAGATGAAAGCTCAATAAGATGCTCTGAGACTGACTCAAATTGCTCTTCAATGCCAAGAAGAGATGATGATACATATAATACATATTTTGTTAAATAATTATACGTTTAATATTCTTCCTTATTTTATTTTGACTATTGCATGTACCATTTATTATGTTAATGAGCACTATCTCAATTTTGTTTAGAAATTTTATGTCACGGTCTCTATTAGACTGATAAAAGCAATTACATTCACGTGAAAAGTAATACGTAATTATCTCTATTTCTTTCACACGAATACATATCTAATTATCTTTATATAGTCATTTTCAAATATTTTATTGTTGTATTACTTGACGGTCAATATATTGTAGGTGCAACGGAATGTTGCGATGATATTGAAGACTTTTGGGTCAGAAAAAGCCCCCAACATGAGGCTTTTATTTCCACTTCTTGCCAGCCAGGGCCTTCTTCAAAGCCCATTTATGCCGAAAAATAAAAAAAATGTGGTTGGAGTGATCAACAGGGGTGACGATGGAAAAGACGGAGGCATAAATGACGATGATGATAGTGTAGACTCAGATGTACAATATTTTCAACTAAGTATCAATGACATGCGTAAGTTAAAAATCTAAAGTATAACTTTGATGCCGATCATAAACTTGTGCATTTTGAACTGATAGCCGTGACTAGTTATATTTTGTTGGTTTATAAAAATCTTGTCTTCAATATGCCCTTATATTTTTTCTTTTTTTATCGTGGGGTAATCTATTGTATAGTATATAGTTGAACATGATATTATAATTAGACTTGAAAACGTGTCTTTGTAATTTTTTGTTGAAATTGTTCGTGGTGCCCAACGGTTGTATAAGATTTTGATGCGAAAGTAGAATTATTTTATGGATTAATATTTTTATGCAATTTTTTAAATTTATTTATTTGAAAATTTCAATTGTATATATAAATTTTATATAGTTGTCAAAATGTAAAGTTTTATTAGAGCTCTTACACGACGATACACGTTATATATATAGATTTTAATAAATATAAAATGTGAGTGAGAAAAGAAAATTTGTAAACTGCTTTGGAAATTTCGAACCAATATATTACTCCCTCCGTCCTTTACCAATTTATCCATTTTTTCATTTTGGTCTTTCTTATAACAAAATATCCACTTCTTTTTTTATTAATTATACTGTCTACCTAACATTACAAGTACCCTTTCAATTTATAATATATTACACAAACATCATTACCTTTATATCATACAATATTAATAAAATTAATTTAGTCTTTTTAATTTTATTTCTACTACATTCCAATATAATACTAATATTTTTAAAACTCTGTGTAAAAAATAAATGGATAAATAGATATGAGACGGAATGAGTATTATATTTGCAATTTGAATGACATTGGAAACTCCGAAGCCATTTGAAATACAATGTGCAGAAGGTTAATGTCCGAGGCCATTTGAAATGCAATGTTCTATTAGTGGCATGTGAGTTTAATGGTCTCGGAGGAATATCCGAGGCCATTAAACTCACGCGCCCCTGGCTCACATCGTTCTTTAATTCGGAAATAGGATTAGAAATTCTGACGTTATGTTGAATGGATTTGGTATTTCCGAAATTCTGAAAATAACTTCGGAATTTTAAAAGTTACATAAATGACAATGAGTTTTTCTGTGCGGGTATGATTCCGAGACAAAATCCAAAGTAAAAAATAATTTGCGTCGGAATTTTTTTAAACTCCGAGGCAATTTTTCTGAGACTATTTAAAAAAAATCTGTAAAAAGAAACTACAATTTTTTCAAAAAAAATTAATATATTATACAATTATTATTTTTCTATTATCTACTCAATTTCTTATAATTCACATAAAAATATATATATATTATTTCAAATTATTTACAAAACAATATAAGTAATGAAAAAATATATCAAATATAAAATATTTTTAACATAAATATTTTTTCAAAACATCATACTTAGCTGTTATTTAAACCAAAAAAAAACCCGAAACACTAATTAACTAAAAATTATATATTTAATGGAAAAAAGAAACCAATATTTAAACTATTATAGAGCGACTGGGACCCACCCGCCACCGCCGATGCGGCCATGCCCACGCTGTCGTTTCACCTAAACAGTGTGAGACCCCTTTCTCTCCCTCTCTCTCTCTCTCTCTCAGTTCTTTCTCACTCTGTTTGACCTAACCCTAATCCCCAAACTATTATTGTACTTTTTAACTCATCTCCTTCCTACCTCAACATATATTCATTTATACTTTTATTTACACAAAACTCCAAACAAACACTCCTCCATCCAAAAAAATTACAGATCGATTCTCTCATCTCCCGATTCAATTCAGATCATTAAATCATACATGATTAATTCCATTTCCAGCTGCTTCTCAAACTCCATCTGTTTCTTATTCAATTTCGGAAAAATATGAACTCTTCGCTCTAATTTAGGGTTACTACTTAACGTCTATACGTATGTGTAAGTATCGGAAATTTTAGAGAAATTATTGTATTGTATAACAAGAATGGATCATCTCGCCGGCGGCCGCCCTCTGCCGCCGCCGTTCCAGCCTAGGGATCTGCACCTCCACCACCAATTCCTCCACCTTCAGAACGCCGCCGCTGCCGACGGCGGGAGCAGCGCCTGCAGCAGGGATCCGGACGAGAACAATAACAACTTCGGCGAATCGAGAACGGTCAGCGGCGGTCAGCTGGAAGTCACGCGCAGGCCACGTGGCCGACCAGCCGGCTCGAAGAACAAGCCGAAGCCGCCGATCATCATAACTCGGGACAGCGCCAACGCACTCAAATCGGTTGTGATTGAAATCGCGGGCGGCTGCGACATCCATGACAGCCTCTCCACCTTTGCCACGCGCCGCCAGAAGGGGATCTGCATCCTCAGCGCCACCGGCACCGTCGCCAACGTTACCCTCCGTCAGCCGGCGGCCCCCGGTGCCGTCCTCCCCCTACAAGGCCGGTTCGAGATCCTATCCCTCTATGGTTCGATCCTTCCGCCGCCGGCTCCGCCGGCCGCCTCCGGACTTACGATATACCTCGCCGGCGCACAAGGGCAGGTCGTCGGCGGTGCCGTCGCTGGCCCGCTGATGGCCTCCGGGCCCGTCGTAATCACGGCGGCGTCGTTCAGCAACGCAGCCTACGAGCGCCTGCCGTTGGAGGACCACGACGACACTCAGGCCGCCGCCCCCGGCGGCCCTCCGGCTGCGGTCAACGACGAGAATGAAGATTTATATCAAGGAATGACTCAGAATCCGGCGAATTCAGGCCAATTGACGTCGGAGGGTTACAATTGGGGGACGAATCGTGAGCAGTTTTGATGAATTCGATCTAAAATTTGGGAGATTAATTTTATTTTGAAGAAACAATAATTATTAATATAATTACAATAATTGAAGAGGGTTTGTGTTTGAATTTTGTCTATTTTTAATTATTTTAATTTGCGGTTTTTTCGAAAATGAGCTGTTTTTAAAAAGGAGTTGTGCAGTATTAGGTGTTCCTCTACAGTTGGTGACGGTGCTGTTCTTACGATTTGAACATGGATGGGAATGGATATGGATGTAGCAACATGAAGAAGACAGACCAGGAGGTAATTTTAATTCTAATTTTAGGGTTTTGGTTTAATTACTATTTTAATCATTGCAGCATATTATTATTATTATTATTATTATTTGCAATTTCTTCTGAATAAATTACTCTCTGAGAATTCTGCTGTTCTCGATTTATGTTGTTATATCTGCAAGTTCTGGGGATTAATTTCCTTTTTGTTTTTTTTTTTATTTTTAATAAGCATTTGTTGATTTGATGTGTGTTCGTGTTTTTTTTTTTTTTTTGGGGGGCTAGGGGTTTGTTCATTTGTGTGTGTATTTTTTTTTTAATTATAATAATTATTGAATATAATAATTTATTCTAGAAATATTATGATTTTATAGAAAACAGTGAAATTTGTATTATGAAAAAAGAAATAAAATTGAGAGGTGAAAGTCTAACCTACTGTGTCTTTCTTAGGGTGTTTTTTTTTTTTTTTTAGGTGTTTGAATTTGATATTAAAATAAATTATAATGAAATATTTTATGAAATAATTTTACTTTTTTTTTAAAATACATAACACAAATAGTAGAAAACTGAGGTTCGAGATGCAAGGAAAAACACCCTTAGTATTTGATTAGTTGGAGTATGTTTGAGTTTGTTCACTAACATTTATTTTTATATAGCTTCCGATTAATATTCATAAATAATCTACTTCCTCCGTTAGTGTTAGTAGATAATTAATAATAATGTAAAAATATTTTTTTCCTTACTTTCTAATGTAATTAAAAAGTAAAAAGTAATAATGTGATAGTGAAGTAAAGATATTTATAGAAAAAAAATAGGATATTTAATAAAATAGTTACATTGTAATTGGATAACCTTAAATAAAAATATGTATACTTTACGGCCGGACAAAATGATGAATATACTGCCACATTCATATAATATAAATAATATATATATTCTCATAAAAATAATCAAGCATTTAACACGTAATATTTTTTATATTATCGATATAATTTTTATATTTTCCGTACAAATAATATTTCAAACTTAACAATAAACGCACAAACCCTTTGTATTTTATGTTTGCATAACAATATAAGAGGTACTAAAGTTTTTTTTTTTTTTTTTTCAGAAAGGCTGAGGATGGTATAATAAAGAAATATTACAATCAATAATTATATTTTATTTGAAATGTACATTAAAAAAAAAGTTTTATTTATTTAAACTATAGTATAAATATTTATTTATAAACAACATTCTGCATGCATCGGATTCATGTTGTTGTTGTTGATGTAATATCTACTTTTGCAGAGAGAGTGAAGAATAATTGGTTTTGGTTAGTGTGACACACGTGCATCACCGCTCTTCTCAACACACTAGCTTCTTTCCAATGCACATTATTATATTAATAATATATCTTAATTTATTTGCATTTTTAAAACTTATTTATTATACTATGGTATTTGTAAATAAGACGTTAATTTAGAATTTTATTTAAATAATATTTTAATATAATATTTAACAAAAACAAATATTTTTTTAATTAAAAATTATGTTAAATTGATAATATTATTTGAATTTAAAATGGTAAAAAAACAAATCAAATAATTTACAATAAAAATATTTATTCTTTTATATTTCACTTCCTCTGTCGAACTCTAAAGATCTCATTTACTTTTTGCATCATTTCACTTAGCATTAAAAATATTTTTATATTTGTATATTTTTTTGCACAAATATCATTATAAAAGTATTATAAGACATTAATATAAGTATTTTTGCAATTTTTCATTGATTTGTATTACGTATTCATATAATAATTAATATTCAAAGATCAACATGTAAAAAGTAAATAAAATCTTTAGATCCGGATTGAGATAGTATAAAATATGAGCTTTTTTGTTAATTTTGATTTGAACTTGAATTTTTTATTTAAATTTAATTAAATAATAATTTAATTAATTAATTTGTAAGAAAAAAACATATGTTAATAACTATCGTGTTTCAAAATCAAACATATCCATGATATCTAATACTATTTCTTAAAAAAAAAAAATACAAAAAAACACACACAACCAAGTTACAAAACATTTTAGTCTCTTTTTGATTATATATTCCCTCTGTTCTATTTTATTATGTTATATATATATATATATATATTTTTACGGTAATTAAGAAAAGTGTATTAAAAAATTAATTATTTTAGTTTTAGTTGATATAATAATTGTAAGTATCCATCAGTGATTTCATTTCAAAATTGATCCCTGGATTGCTGTCTTTCGGTAATTGGATCTTACGAGATATCTAAATAATGTTGGCATAGCAACACATCTTCATTATGACTATAACCACCACCTCGGATGAATATTTTGGGGAAAATTTTTTGATAAACTTTTGTTATATTAAAATGAGAAGTGAGTTGTTTTGGTGCAATAATTCAAACAAAATAAAAATATATATTTATAGACAAATTTGAAAAACTTAATCTCAACGTTCATTTAGATTTCACAACATCCTAGCCATTGGATCAAAACACTTTTTTTGATCAATCTCAATTATTTATATTGTATTTGACTATACATACATATATATATTATAAAAATCTACTTATTTATATCAAAAGCAATCCGAACTGTTCGTTTGAATTTTATTTTCATTTCATCCATTGGATAAATATCTATATTATCCAAATAATTATTATATACTCCCTCCGTCCCGGTGAAAGAGTGACGTTTGCCTTTTGCAAGTAAATTTTTTAATATTAGTATTATATTGGATTGTAGTAAAAAAGACAAAAATACCCCTATTAGTATAGTATAATATAAAAGTAATGACATTTGTGTAATATATTGTAAATTTGAAGGGTATTTATTATGTTAGGTAAATAGTACAATTACTAAATTAGGAAATGGTAACCTTGTTTTGGTACGGACGAAAATGGAAAATGATAATCTTTCAATGGGACGGAGGGAGTATTATAAATTATGAAATAATAATATTATATTATCTTTGTTTAATTATTTTATCATATTTGTCTTGATAGCATTTAATTATTTATTTAAAATTATTTTATTTGTAATAGTTATTAATTATAAATTTTAATTTTCATATATGTAATTTTAAATAAAATATAAAATTATATGTGTATGAATTATAATGTAAAAATAATTAAAGTTGGGTGTAATTTATAAATATGAAAAGTTATATAAGATAATATAAAAGAAGAATATACAGGGAATATAATTTTTAGAAATATAATTAAAGTAAAATTATTCTAGATTAACTGCAACAACTGCAAAAATAGAGTGAAAAATTGGAGATGGCCTTAAAGGTTTTGTTGAATTGAGTTCAAATTTTGTTGTTCTTTGTGTTTATTTTAATGGTGCTGATTTATTATTTTATTTTTGGGGGTTTTTCAATTTTATAGATTTTGTTGATTTAAGTTTCTAGTTTTTTTCTTCTCAATGCTAAATTCTAAATTTGATGTTGTAGATAGTTTTGTTAACAATCGATGAAAAATAAATAGGATATTGCATCTATATGTATTTAGTGATCCTGGACACCTATGATTTACCTTGCATCCTAAAAATAGGATCTCGATAAGCATGAGCCAGTCCAAAAATCTAGTTGGGGATCATTTACATGTATTTGTTTGCTTTGGCTAATAATTTGGCTTTATTTTTTAGGTATTTTTTTATTTTTATGAATGATGATTGATTGCTAATAAAAATGAAAATTATGTCCATTTAAGATTTTAGGTCAATGTTAATTTGTATTTTTAAAAAACTTGATAGATGCCTGTTTAAAATTACCACATTGTACTTTTTCAGTCCAACAATTACTTAAGGTTGTTAACTTGTAATTTTAGTGATTTATATTCATTTTCATGTCCTTCGTATTTGCATTGTGTGATAGAGTTTTTTTTTTTTTTTTTTTTTTTTTTTTTTTCTTTCCTCATAATTAAATGAAGAGATTTTTTTAACATTTTTTTATTGTGTTCAATTGTTCAAGTTATTTAACTTTGTGGTGTCCTTTCATTGTGTTTGGGAGGACCTCTAAGATCCTTGACAAAGGAACAAGTGGCGAGTTGTAACACCCCAGTCGGCTCAGGCCAGAATATCACCCCCACGTCACACCGGAAAACACATTCATTAAAAAACCATAATTTATTTTTTAAACAAAAAAAATCACCAAAAATTATGAAACAAATTAATATAAATAAGTTGTTTTGAAATATTGGAGTGATATAGTGTTCTAAAAATTAACTTTTATGGTCCAATTATATAATATAAGACATACTCTCATTGATTTTAATATATAAATTATGCAACATATGCTATATACATAAAACCATCACTATACCATACTAACTAATACAACATATATATTATATAAATTGAAATAATATATTGTTTTATATATTTATGTCAAGTATATAATGTATAATTTATCCATCATAAATAAAGACAATATTCGTCCACTGTAAACAGACTCAGCTAAATAAAATAATATTATACTAGAGTTGAATTGTTTTAGTCCAATGAACTGGTATTAGAATTTCTTGGTCTCGAATAGTCCCTTTGTTGATAAAGGCACTAGAGGTGAGGCTATAGATTATATGGTATCTGGTTTAACAACAAAATTGACGACAATATAATTGAGGTTTTTTTTTTTTATTAAAAATAAAATGTATAATAACTTATTTATAGAAGCAAAGAATCAGAGACAAGGGTTGTCGGATCCGGTGAAGATGAGACAACGTTCATGCCTTTTCTTTATCTCTCATCTCTCATAGAAATTTTTTTTTTTTTCTCTCTTATTCCTATTGGTTGTTTTTTTTTCTATTCCAACAACAAACCAAAAAAGCCATTGTACATGTTTCGAAGAAAAAATGTTTCATCACAAAAAGTATTTGGACAACTCATCGTATAAAAGCTTTTTTATAACAACCACTGGGGTTGCTCTTAGGGTGTAAACCTAACTTTCACATAAACTCTACCAATGTGAAGCCTTTTGAAAGTAGTTCAAAATAAATCTATGCAGATTCGGTCCAAATCGAACAATATTATACTAATGTTAATTTGGCTCAACTCATATATTGTTGGGAATATACCCAGAGTGCAATCCAAAAATAGTGTTGGAGTTCCCACGTAATAAATATATCTAAACACTAATATACGCCTTATTATATGGAAAACTACCTGAGAGTTTGTTTTTACCCTTATTGTTTGTGAGTGCTAAGATTTTATTGAATTCTAAATATAAATTTTCTTTATTCAATGATGTAATTTTCATTGTCTTTGTACTATTAACCAATTTGAATTTTATACCGATTCAAAAAGCTCATTTTTTTCAGTACAAGAAAATTGAAAACATGTATATATATATATTTATATTCCTATAAATCTATACGACAAGATTTGGGCATACAAACCAGCAGACAAAATGTATGAACATGTATATTATTCTTTAGAAAATAAAATTTTTTATAATAAAAAAAAGAGATAAATTAATATAAAAAGATAAATTGAAAAGGAAAAATTTTTCTTCTTTTTTTTGTTAGGTTGATGCACGGCCTTACTCTCGAGATGACCCAACGATTATTTCAAATAGAAAGATGGTTGATGTACATGTTACACTCGAGATGACTGATGGGCAGCAATTACTTCAAATAGAAGGATGGTTGATGCGAAAGATGCCGAGATTGGCTATCTGCACTTCGATGCACATTTCTCTCTCAAATGAATAGCCAATCAAATATATTTTGTTTGATTCAATATTTTTTTTTTTTCTGTTGATTTTTTTTTTTTTTTTAAAAAAAAAACCTAGCTTCAATGGTTTGATGCAATTCCTGATTTGGATAAAGAAATGTATGAAGATAAATTACTCATCTGGGTTCAGCAACCGCCAAGTCTTTGGAAATCTATCTCAGGGACCTAGAATCCGAATAAATCAATCCAGAAGGCCCAAATGCAAGTCAGCACTACTAGTACTACTACAAGCTTCATCCTTGCATGCTCTTTCTTATTCATCATCAGCCTGTCTGTCTATTGGGAGGGATTATATAAGTATGCATATAGCGGCTATTGGAATTGTGGTCGGGCATTCGCGCTAGTTGTGAGAAGGAGAAGGAGAATGCTTTGTATTTGGAGCCATATCATTTAATTTGTGACTTAGGGAATGATGATGATGAGATGACACATTGTTAGTCATTGTTTGGTGGTAGAGGAATTGAACCACAAAAGATATTAATTGTGTTGGGATGGAATAAGTGCAACCCC